GAGACAGGAAAGCTGTCCTGAAGCTCATATAAAAGGTATTTTGTGTCCGTGTGGTATTTTGTGTCACCCCAAATTCACACGAGTAACTTTACTTCAGCTGCCTGTGCTGGACGGGGGCGGAATGTTGCCATACAGAAAGATGTGCATCATGAGGAGGAAGGAAAAGAGACAAATGGACAGAGGGGCCATGGCAGGAAAGAACATCGAAACCTCCAAAATATGCTAAGGAAGCAAACATCATGGTTGATAATGACATTGAATCTGGAGAGATCTACAAAAAGACTGTTCAGACTGCATTATTTATAGGCAAAGATGTAGAAAAATATTGAAAGCAAAAAGAGAAAGATAACTCATTATGTATATAATTATGTATACGGGTCAAAATTAAGATTATTACTTCACAAAATGTGAATCACATGAACTACGAGCCAACTAAGATTTTTGAATGTCTAGTATTCAGGACCATTAGTAATCAGGACCACAGTATACTCATCAAATTGCCAAATCCCACAGCCTCCTGAACCTCATATGATTGGTAGAGCCAAGCCATTTAAATACTGTCAGCGTCTATAAAGATGTTGTTGGAATGGATGGGAAATCACAATTAATGACACACATACCTAGTGTCATTAACTCCTCTCTTTTATATGTTCCCCAAAGAAATGCAAGAAACTCTCCAATAATCACAGAGAGCCTTTCATGCAGGGGTGCAGGCCAAGGAAAGTTCATAGAGATAACATCTATCAATTCAGGGAGGAAGGATTTAGGGCATATTCACAGAAGGAATGCAGGGCAGCAGGAAAACGAGTAACCAGCAACTTCAAGTTTAAGCTCCAGAAAATAGAAAATCCCTCTAGAAGATAAAAATGTCAACTTGAGAAGAATTCATGCAGCATAAGCCTTCTGCAAAAGCATAAGCCCATAACAACCCAAAGATTGTACTGGTAAATTTAAATCTGCACAGGTTTTAGAAGGTGAAGGATATATGGGCAATGCGGGGATTTGGGGCCTTAGGAGAACTGACATTTCATTAGTCTTGGGAGCATGTATTTTAGGTGTTGAGAGTCACGGACTTCATTTCACAATTCATCGCGTTAGAAATGTGCTTTAACTACATTTATTGAGCTTCTATCACAGGTTGCATGGGAAACATTTCAGAGCTCAGTTCTGGAGCACTTCCCACGTCTCCACAATTCTGAAAGGCGAGACAGGTCCACACAGGCCACGCGTGCTCCACACATGGCTGCTCCCTGTGCTGTGGTGGCAGTTCACCCTGTGCCCTGCACCAGCCTGTGCTGCATGGAGCCTGGAGGAAGGTAAAACCCACTGTAGGCAGAGGAGGCACAGTGGCCTCCTGAGTCCTCAGGGTCCTGCTCAGGGTCAGCTTGGATCCAGGCTTGTGGTCATTTCCACCAGCTGTGTGGAAACTAGTCTTTAATGACTTCCTGGATGCTGAAGTTCACTTTCTGGATTCATCTTGGGAAAACCACATTCTCAGGCAGTGACTGCACTCACTCCACCTGGAAGTCCACCAGGAGATTCCCGGTGCCCCTGGGAGAGGACCCGTTGCTCCTCCTTGGCTTCAAAATGAGGCACAGTAAACAAGGTCCTTGGGGCAACAGGGGACAGGTGAGTGATGTGCCCTGGGAGGAGAGGTCCTGTCATTCTGCCCCTGAAATACAGGGCCAGGCGCAACCTTTCCAAGACTCCTCACCGTGTCAGGGAGGCCGACTGCCTGGAGCAGGGCCCTGCAGCCCTAGGCCTGGAGAGAGAGGAGGGGAGCCCGGGGCTCTTTTCCCCCTGCCCAGTCCACGCCCAGTAAGGACTGCATTTGATGTCTGGTTTCCTCCTGAATGTTCTTCCTCTCATGATATGCCCATATCTTCTTCTCTCTTAGTTCCTTCAACTCTTCTGTTCTTTTCTGCAGACATGGTTTCCCTTTCTGATCTGGCCTGTGTTTAAGTCGTTTGTACTTCTTAGCTCTACAAATCCATCCTGTCTTCAACTGAGTTTTCCTTTAACACTGAGAGCACTTGGTTTCCTCTGTTCTGGGTCCTCTCCTTCCTGATTAGAGCACAGGTGAGAGTTCCCTCCAGTCCCGCCTTTGACCTCAGGGTCTCCTGTGCCCTGGTCTCTGTGAGGCTCTGTCTCCATCTCAGTGCCTCCATTGATGCGGGGTTATTCTGGAGCAGTTTAGCTCCAGGGTCACTTCATTATTCCTTTTTCTGCTCTGTAGCTAGTTTTAGTTTCTCTTCCCAGATTCCTTTTACTTTTCATACATGTCCAGTTGGAGGCGTAGCCTAATTTTATCATGTAACAATTGGTAGGTTCATTTTATTGCATGCGGCTTAACTGTGTCATACTTCAATGGTGTTTGAATAATAGTTTTATGGTGGAATACAGACCTCAAGTGATTTTCATGCTGATTTTCTCCCAGTAGCCTTAATAATCTCTCAAATGATTCATATGATTTAGCCAACATTATTGTCTACAATTTAATCTGTGTAGGTAAAAAAAATAATGTTGCCTTCTTCCCAGTGATTATAAATTATTCCTTCTGTATTGACAATAAAGCCCTCTACTGTCATGAGGGGCAAAAGCAGAGAGAGAAGTTATCTGCATTGGTATCTGATATGACAGAAGCTTTCTATATTCAACCCCAAAATGGTATTGTTGACATTATTGATATTTTATTATAGTAACAACATCATTTTTATTCCTAGCTCATAACAACTTTAACTTTATATGTGTGGCATTTAATCCCATGATTTTCTGTGTCTATTGAGGTTGATGAGGAGATTTCTCCTTTAGTCTACTCCTGGGGGTGGTCACACAGCTGACCTTTCTAATGCTGAACCTCCTTGCACTTATGACAACTCACTTGCTCAGTTGCTGGAATCCTTTTGCACAGTGTGGGATTCCTGTCAAGCCTTTGATTTGGGATAATACCATTTCTGCAAAATGAGTTTGGTACTCATTTTTGTGCTTATATATATTTTTTGATGTATGAGAGAATTAGTATTATTTTTCAAATGTTTGTTAAAACTCAGCAGTGAAGAACTCCTGTCCCAGACCTCCCATCAATCTACAATTTAAAAATTCAGATTCCATCTTTCTCATTTGAGTTAACCCAGATTACCTATTTCTTTATGATTCATTCTTGGTAGTTGGCAGGTTTCTAAAAGTTTATTCATTTTTTGTAATTAATTTAATTGCTTAGAATACAACTGTTCATAAGAATCTCTGATCCTTTTTGGTTGTACATTTTCCCTCTGCTCATGTAAGTGGGGCTGATCCCATTCATCCACAAAGATTATGCAGCTTGTGTATGATATGTCCAGATGAGAGCCTGAGATGTCATGCCTGGCCTCCTGCCCCTGGCCAGAGGGAGCGTGGACTACATTAATATAGAAGGGAATACCGTGAATAGATCTGGATGATAAAATGAGGAAATGGCAAATGTCCCAAGCAAGGAGAGAAGTTGTGTGAAGGAAAACCTCTGGCTAGGGTGAGGAGGGAGAGAGGCCATGCCTTAGTGAAACTAGGGAAAATAAAATGATCAAAACATTTGAGGGTGAGCCTGAAATCATCATATCATGATTAAAGACAAGATGCATTTTAAAAAATGAGAGTGTGGTGCTGTGAGCCAATCATCAGCCGGCAGCTGGAAGTTTGCCGGCTGATGATTGGCTCACAGCTGTGTGGTCGCCATGGTAATCCGTGACTAGTTCACAAATTCAAACCATTCAAACTCACAAAACATAAACTGCATAGTTGGTGGAAGGCACAAAAGAACCTGTAGAGGAACAGGACTCCAACACTGTGCGAGTTCAAAGAATAATTTGAATAGTGACCCCTTAACAGGATAATGACAGTAGGATCCCTGCAGTACAGATCATGCCCAAGCGTGGATTGTGGTGAAAGTGTAGCCTGAGATGACCTGACAATGTTCTCATGGACTTGCTCAGTGTGGAGACACATGTGGAATTGACCAGAGGTCCAAGAAGGACTATGGTTCAGGTGAAGGAAGAACTATGTCACGGAGAAAGTATCCCCAAGCAAATTAAATAGTGAAATAAACTCCAAAATCCAAGAAGTATGGTTGAGATATTGACCTCATCCATTTCATTGTTAACCTAAATGAACATCTTATCGTTTCCTCTGCAATTACATTTCTGAAACTAATTCTGTTCCTATAAGAATCAGACAAAAATGCCAGACCAAAGAGTAGCTTTTATTCATGCTGCAGTCCTCAGGACGCAGGGTCCTTTGTTATCCTGGGTTATCAACCATGATGTGAGTGCTGGTTCTGCTGGACATTCCATGTTATGGAGTTTGTGTGGATCACTGGGGAATATTGAGCAGCAATTTTGGCCTCAGCCTTCTGCATTACAGTAGCCCGGCCCAAGATGTGAGCACCACAAATGTCTCACATCATTGTAGTTTGACCCATGGGTATGAAGGGAGGTTGAAAACACTGTCTCTGATGAGTTTTGACAGTTATCGACTTGGCAGAAGAGTGTGTGTGTCATGAAAATCCAAGACACAAGTGCACAGGGTAGTCTGCCTGTTATAACGATCATGCTCTTTAGAGAGTTGAGAGTACTGAAATGTAGGTTGAAGATAAAACATAGCCTGGGGCTCAGAGGAAAATGTGCCTTATAACCTGCACATTTGTCTTTCACACAGGCAGCCTGTCCCCTGATCAGAGTCCTAAATGCTTGATGTGCCTTGATTTCCACCTTCTTTGTCCACCTCCTGCTGTGATCTGTTGTTCCCAGGAATCCCTGGAATCCAGGCTCTGGAAGTGTCTCACCAGGCCCTGAAACACAGAACTGCACATTCCATCATCTTCTTCTCCTCCTGAAACCTAATACTATTGCAAATCTATGTCTTAAAAATAATTCTAAATAATTATTTTCCATTTGGGGCCTTATTTCCCTCAATAAAATCTTCTAAGCCATCATTAAGATAATGTTCCTGGGCTGCTGTAACTCAATTCTCTGCACCTGCCCAGCATTCATGAAGAGCTGGATTCTGTCCTAGGCACAGCAAGGTCATAATAAGGAGAAAATGTTCCCAAGTGACACAATGTTTGGTGTTTTTCTAGTCTCGCAGCTGTGCGTGGGAGTCGCGGGAAACTTGTTCCTCTTCCTGTTGTACATGCACACCTTCTCAGTCCAGCGTCACATGAAGCTTATGGATCCTGTTTTTTCCCACCTCACCTTGGCCAATACTTTGACAATCACGTTCACGTTGACACCACATATAGCGTCATCCTTCGGAGTAAGACAATTTTTGGACGATGTTGGTTGCAAAGTAGTCCTGTATATGTACAGAGTGACGCGGGGTGTTTCCATCTGCACCACCTGTCTCCTGAGTGCCTTTCAAGCCATCACTGTCAGTCCCAGGAACTCTAAGTGGGCGTGGCTTAAATTTAAGCTCCATACACAGATTTGTCCCTCATTCCTTTTCTTCTGGATCATCAACATGCTTATATACATCCACGCCATTAGATCCATCACAGCCATTAGAAATTCCACTCTGGTAGGTTATGGCTATGTTCATGCATACTGTCAAACGGGACCGTTTGGAAAACACAGTTCATCATCATATGTTATTGTCATACTGGTTCGAGATCTGGTATTTGTGTTCCTCATGCTCTGCACCAGCCTGTACATGGTGAGTCTCCTCCACAGACACCACAGGAGAGCCCAGCACCTCCACAGCCCCCACGTCTCCTCCCAGACATCTCCTGAACACAAAGCCACCCACACCATCCTCCTGCTTGTAGGTTGCTTTGTGGTCTTTTATTTTGCAAACAACTGTTTGACACTTTATTCCATTTACACACACAAGAAAATCCTAAGCCTAGAGGGGCTCAGTGGAGTTTTATCTTCATGCTACCCAACCGTCTGCCCATTTTTGCTGATGAAAAATAATAAAATTGTTTCCCAATTCACTTCATCCTTTTCAGTGATGGGATTGAGAGGTTCGCAAAGGGCATTTGATGGCTAATCTGATGCCCCAGGATTTAGTCTGCAACAGGGCAGAGTCCCTAATGACTTATAGGGGAAAAGCAAGGCCACATTGCCTTTCAGCACTTCAAGTGGCATCAGGTTGAGTTCAATAGTCTACAAATTAAAATGCACTCAGAATTAAAAGGCTCAATTTGAACCAATGTAAAGAGATTACACTGATAATTTTCACTTTGTTTACATGCTTTAATTTATATTTGAAAAAAAGTATATACATAATACACCTACTATTCAAACTATTTTGTATGCTTCCATTTAGTCTTTTAAAAATACATCTATGAGAAAATGCAAAATTAGGTTTAGAGTTTGTATTCTACTTCTATTAGAGTGTGCTGGCCTAAGAAACTGCTGTGAATCCCACCAATGCTGATTGATCACCTTATAAATTCTAGGCACAACTGTAGGGCTTGGACGTACTCCAGTGTCCTCAGAGCATGAGACATCATAACCCAGGGGACTACACAGGCTCTTCAGGGTGCAGGGATCATATTTGTGAAATGAGGAGAGCTCTACAAATAGAGCTGGGGAGGAGAACTGGGAGGCTTGAGAGATTGACTCACTCTGAGCCTGCAGTGAGCCGCCCTGGGGCATCTCTGACGTCTGCAGAAACCTCTCCACAGTGACGCTCACTCACATTGGGATGGAGGGCTTCCTAATGGATGCAGTCTCTCATGTCTGGGCTGACGTATATCTTCTCTCAGTCATTCTCCATGAGAGGCAGCGAGACCCTTTCATGTGCTGTCATCACGGACTTTGCAAGCTCCTTGCCCCACACCCCTTTCCTTCACTTCCACCTCCCCTACCTGAAGTCCTCCTCCTATTGCAGTCAGGGTTTCACTCAGGTTTTCTGTGGTGGTCACAAGGTGATAGTTAGGAGGATCCTTGCCTGCTTTTCCACCACTGTGGCTCAGGATCCTCCCCCAGGGCTATGCGATTCTTGGGCTTTGATCGCTCGTGAAATAGCTCCCATTTACTGTCTGTAGCTTTCTGTGGTTCAAACATGACTCCTAACACCAGAATGAGGTTTTTCCTTTGAATAAACTTATTTTTTCCACAATTTTCACAATGTCTGCTTCCTCCTTCTGCTGCGTCAGTCACAGTGCCATGTGGACGTGCAGTTCAACTACCTCCAGCTTAGCACGGTCCCTCAGTGAGTGATTCCTTCCAACAGCTCTTGGGTGTCCCCGGGCATTGTCACTCCTTGTTGGCATGTCGGAGATGCCTCCTGGAAGCTCCCCAGCCCTCTCTGCCTTCCTCCCTTCATGATCCCCTTGAGGAATGAAACCTCAAATTTCTCTTCTCCTTCATCTTCTCTACTCCATCTGGTTTAGCACACTCCAGCTGGTTATTTTTCTGTCTCTTCTAAGGAATTGCAACGCACGTCCTGAAATGTTACTGCTCTCTGAATTTTCACTGTGGACACACTCAGGTTCCCCACCTGAATCAGGAAACAGCATCAGCAGCTTCCTGAAGCCCCAGCAGGGCCCTCCCAGCCCCTGTCCCCTTAGATGTACACCACTGGGCTCTAAACAGTACCCGCTGTCACTTCGCTTAAACCCGAGATCATGGATTTCACAGAGTCCCAAGAGCTGTACCTGAGACTTCTCAGGCTATAAGAGGTTCAGCATCCCCAGTCCAAACACCTGAAATCTGAAACATTTTGACCACTCTTATGGCATCATATGATATGGGACATTGCTGAAAAAGGCTTAAGTTCACTGCATATTTTCAAGGCAGAACAGAGGCAGAGTTGTAATCTAGGGTTTAGTTTAGTGGTTTTTCTTTTCGTTTCTTTTCTTTTTGGCAAATTAATTTTCTGGACCAGTTTTAGGTTCATACAAGGACTGAATGTCACCTCCCCCCTTCCCTCTGTTCATCCAGAAGCACAGCCTCCCTCTCTCAGTATCTCAGCATAGTGAAACACTTCTTGGAACTGAAGAACATAGACTGACATATCATCATGATCCAAACCCATAGTTCATAACAGGGTTCACTCTCAATGATGTTCCTTCTCTGGTTTTGTGTTTATGTGTGTTTTTGGGGGGTATTGGTTATTGTACCCCAGAGCATTGTACCTATGGCCTAGAGCAGCAACTCTTCCAACTTTGAGGCAGAATTTTCCTAACTACTGAGGCGGGCCCTGAACTTGCAATCCCCCTGACTCAGGCTTCTGAGTAGCTGGGATTACAGGTCTCAGCACCAGCCAGCCATTCATGGCTTTTGATACATGTGATGGCACGTGTACCCACAGAGTGTCAGAGGAAGGGCAAACTCTGCCCTAAACTCCATATCTGTACCTGTTCCCCCTCTACTCCCTGTTTTTCAGTGTGCACAGGTTTATAATGGGTATTATACATTCTTCAGAGTATTCATCCTTTGATCAACACATAATGTCCTGCTATCTTGTGATCATGTGACTTAATGTCTATTTGTCTGATTCTGCCAAAGAAAATCTGCCCTCCTTAGGCTCTCACGTGCATGAAATCCTTCCCACTCCATTATATTCACCTGTGTCCTTGGTGTTTGGTGAAGCTCTCTGGGCAGCACACAGTTGAACTGTGGATTTTCCAGCTTCTGGAAACTTGGGGTTTGATTGGCAACTTTAATCCTATCAATTTTCAAATAATTCCTGGTAGGAAAGGAGTGACTACTACCCCTTTGCTCTTTCAGGGTCATTCAGCTCTTCTAGACCCTCACTATCCCTACTGCTGCCTTCTTTTCTTGTTTGGTGGATTCTTCTTCTTCTTCTTCTTCTTTTTTTTTTTTTTTTTTTTTTTGATTGTACCCTTTGATTTCCTTTTCATTTCCTATTGTGCATTTTCATGCTAGGTATTTTCTACATAGAATTAATGTTTTTTCTAGCATACTCATAGAAGGAATGCAGGGCAGCAGGAAAAAAAGTAACCAGCAACTTCAAGTTTAAGCTCCAGAAAATAGAAAATCCCTCTAGAAGATAAAAATGTCAACTTGAGAACAATTCATGCAGCATATGCCTTCTGCAAAAGCACAAGACCATAACAACCCTAAGATTGTACTGGTAAATTTAAATCTGCACAGGTTTTAGAAGGTGAAGGATATATGGGCAATGCGGGGATTTGGGGCCTTAGGAGAACTGACATTTCATTAGTCTTGGGAGCATGTATTTTAGGTGTTGAGAGTCACTGACTTTATTTCACAATTCATCACGTTAGGAATGTGCCTTAACTACATTTATTGAGCTTCTATCACAGGTTGCATGGGAAACATTTCAGAGCTCAGTTCTGGAGCACTTCCCACGTCTCCACAATTCTGAAAGGAGAGACAGGTCCACACAGGCCACGCGTGCTCCACACATGGCTGCTCCCTGTGCTGTGGTGGCAGTTCACCCTGTGCCCTGCACCAGCCTGTGCTGCATGGAGCCTGAAGGAAGGTAAAACCCATGGTGGGCGGAGGAGACACAGTGGCCTCCTGTGGAGCAGCCAGCATGATCTCAGGGTCCTGCTCAGGGTCAGCTTGGATCCAGGCTTGTGGTCATTTCCACCAGTTGTGTGGAAACTAGTCTTTAATGACTTCCTGGATGCTGAAGTTCACTTTCTGGATTCATCTTGGGAAAACCACGTTCTCAGGTAGTAACTGCACTCACTCCACCTGGCAGTCCACCAGGAGATCCCCCGTGCCCCTGGGAGAGGACCCGTTGCTCCTCCTTGGCTTCAAAATGAGGCACAGTAAACAAGGTCCTTGGGGCAACAGGGGACAGGTGAGTGATGTGCCCTGGGAGGAGAGGTCCTGTCATTCTGCCCCTGAAATACAGGGCCAGGCGCAGCCTTTCCAAGACTCCTCACCGTGTCAGGGAGGCCGACTGCCTGGAGCAGGGCCCTGCAGCCCTGGGCCTGGAGAGAGAGGAGGGGAACCTGGGGCTCTATTCCCCTTGCCCAGTCCATGCCCGGTAAGGACTGCATTTGATGTCTGGTTTCCCCCTGAATGTCCTTCCTCTCATGATATGCCCATTTTTATTTATAAATTTATTTATAAAATTTATAGCCTAAGTTTATCATGTAATAATTTGGAGGTTCATTTTATTTGATGCAACTTAACTGTGTGATTCTTGAATGGTGTTTGAATCATAGTTTTATGGTGGAATACAGACCTCAAGTGATTTTTATACTGAGCTGTTCCCAACAGACTTCATCATCTCTCAAATGATTTATATAATTTAGTACTTTGTTTTCAGAATTTTGTCCACAGAATTTGATGCATGTATGAAGAAACAAAATATTGACTTTTTCCCAGTGATTATAGATTATTCCTTCTGTATTTACAATAAAGCCCTCTACTGTCATAAGGGGCAAAAGCAGAGAGAGAAGTTATCTGCACTGGTATCTGATATGAGAGGGAAGCTTTCCACATTTAACCCCAAACAGGGTATTGTTGATATTATTGATATTTTTTCACAGAAACAAATCCTTTTTATTTTTATCTCTAAAACTTTTAACTTTATATGTGTGGCATTTAATCCCATGATTTTCTGTGTCTATTGAGGTTGATGAGGAGATTTCTCCTTGAGTCTACTCCTGGGGGTGGTCACACAGCTGACCTTTCTAATGCTGAGCCTCCTTGCACTTATGGGCAACTCACTTGCTCATTTGCTGGAATCCTTTTGCACAGTGTGGGATTCCTGTCAGCCATGATTTTGTGCAGATTGCTTTTCATCTGGAAGTGGAAGGACACACTCTTGTCATCAATGTTTCAACTACATTTCCTTCTGTTGTGAAGGCTATGCGGCCCTCACAGTGTGATTAAGAGAATCCACTTTCCTGCCCTTAGGAAGTGTTTGCAGATGTTTCTGCATCTGGTGGTTGGCATCCTTCCCTGTTGAAGCATTCCTTGGGAATCCTTAGGAAGCCCTTTTTCCCAATATTCGATGTCATGCTGGGGAGCACTGCACTGTGCTGCCTGCGGGTCTGAAATCTATGGTAAGTCGAGTCTCCTAGGGTTTTCTCAAGTCTCATACCTCTGAATTCACTGACATAGTCCATCCCAACATCACCTTTTCACACACGTCTGCGGTTTCTCAGTGTCTCTTTCTCACACTGTGCACCTGACACTGTGGCGCCTTCACATGGGGCAGTGGGACAGTCTCACAGGAGGGGATAAATGCAGCAGTCTGTCCAAGGAACTGTGTTTGCCTTTGCTTTTCCTTTCTATTGAGGTTGTTTGATATTTTTCTGCTGCCTTCACAGAAATTCTCTCTCCCTCCTTTTCTAGGGCTCCTTCTGCTCTTCCTGTTCTAATGCCATCATTCTTCCATGGGCTCTCATCCAGTCTTCGTTTACTTCCGAAAGGCACATCCACAGTGCTTTGCATAATAGTTTGAGTCACCAGGTGGTAAGTAAAAGGTGCTTTGTGTTTTGAACATACTGAAGATCAGGGTTTTCCTGTTTCTCTTTTGTGACTCCAGATGAATTGCCATGTCACATGAGCCCTTGCACTTGTGGCCCTCACTTCAGGGCTGGCTGCTGGGTGCATTTCCCCCCTGCTTCTCAAGTGCCTGGGGAGAAAGCTGGGATCTCACAGTGACTGTGGGGGTGGTGCTTTTATAGCAGTTAGGTGGAATGTGAATTGACCTGTGGGTCTGTTGTGTCCTGACCTGGTGTGTTCCGCCCACTGTGGTCCACTAAGGATGTGTGTGTTTACACCATAAATATTGACGCCTTGTGTATTTGAGGACAGCCATTTAAGGGGTGCATTTCAATGCAGTGGGCTTTTTATACCCAGGGGTTCTGTCCCCTAAAGCACATTTCCCAACATATGGAGGGCGACACCTTTAGGTAAGTCCGAGTGCAGTTTGTGATCATCATTGTTCCTTGGAAGTCCCCATATGTCCTTCACTGGGTGGGTGTTACTCAGCTCGTGTGCTGGTGCTGCAGGCCAGTTCATCTGCTCTGACTGGGACCCTCCGGGATCTGCTGAGGAGCTCGTGCCCAAGACTTGTCCATGCTGTTGCTTTTGACCCATGTGCTTTTGTATGTACAGTGTGACTCTATTAGTACACACGTGGGATGTGGTATTTTACAGTCTTGCAATCTGCCTTCAGTTTAATCTGTTTTATTCATTTTAATTTTACAGATTTATTTTAACTTTATTGAGGTCTAATTAAAATATTTCCAATAAATACTTAGGTAAAGAATTATTCATCTGCTGTGTGCTCTGAAATGACCCCCAAAATCAACATGGTTGACCAATCAGTATGTGTTTTTGTGAGTTGAGAGTATTTTAGATCACTTTTCAGCCAACCATAAGTACACCAGACCTTAATACCATCTTCTCATCAAACATTACCTTGGATACACTGAACATTTTCCTCAAGTGCATGAAAGTTTGTACCTGTCAATAACATGTCCATAGTTTCCTGCTTCAAGCTCCTGGCATCCACCTCTCACTCTTTCCCTTTCTCTAAGTGCAACATTTTCAGGGGTCTCATACAGGTGAGATCATAGAATATTTCCTTTTTTGTCTGGTCTTAGTAATACAGTATGTTCCAGGTTCATCCATCTTGTTATAATTGAGAGCATTTCTTCCTGCTCGTGAAGGAATACTATTTCATTGAGTGTATGTGTGTGTGTGTGTGTGTGTGTCGTGTATCCATCCATACAACACAATCATTGCATCCTCGTGTTCATTGGTGGACACGCAGGTTGTATCTATATCTTGGTTTTATGAACATGGTGCAGTGAACACAGGAGGCAGACACCTTTGAGAGACTGATGTCAATTCCTCTGTGTGTGTTGAGGCAGGATTGCCAGGGCACATGGTTGATGGAGTTGCAAAGTTTTGAGCCAACTCCACCCAATTTCCATCAAGGTTGTTCCACTGAACTCCCACCAGCAGTGTCCAGGAGTCTGCTTTAATTCCTGTCTCCACTGCTGCTTGTTCCTCTTGCTTTATCATAATGGCCATTTGATGAAGTTACATCTCATGGTGATTTTGACTTTCGTTTCTCTCATGGTCTGTGAGGTAGAGCACCACTTCATTTGCCTTTGGCCATCGAAAGAACTCGTTTAGAATAACTGTCTATTCATGACACGTGTTTTCTTTAGTTCTTGAGTTGCATGATGGATGTGCCCCCAGCATCTGATACAGTATTTGTGAAACCTTCTCTGATTCTGCTTCCTTTTCAATTTATTCTTTTCTTGTCATTCAGTAACTCTTTAGTTTGAAATTGTCCTACTTGTTTATTTTTCTGTCATCCATAATTTTGTGGTATATCCAAAAAAAAAAATAAGTCAAAGAGTTTTTTGTTAAGATTTTATCCAAGAAATTATATGGAGACAATCTTACCTGTACATCCTTAATTCTATTTGAAGGGATGTCTTTGTATGGTGATAGGAAAAGGCCCAACATCCTTTTTTGCATATGAAGATCCAGAGTTCCCTTCATGGGCAATTGCAGAGCCATCGTTTCATCATTGCGAATTTTCGATGCCCTGTCAAAGGTTAGGTCACTGTATGTGTTTGGGTTAACTTCAGGATCCTCATTCTCTTTCAGTGATTAATGATATTATTTTTATGCCACTAATGTGCCAATTAGATTACTATAGCCCTTTGATAATATTTGAAATCACCAAGTGTGATGACCCCAACCATTTTTGCAGCTCAACAGTATTTTGATATATATTCCATGTGACTTTGAGGACTGGTTTTTCCAACTCTGTGAAAACTGCTGTTAGAATTTTCATTGGAATTTCACTGAATCCATGGTTCAATTTCAGTAGTATGTGCATCATTACAATATTAATCATTTCTTTTTCCTGCTATTTGCTGTGGCTAGGACTTCCAGTCCAAAGCTGAACAGAAGAGAGAAGTATGTGCTCGTTAGAGGAAAAGGCTTTGGCCTGTCATATTGAGTATGATGTTGGGGGGGCTTGTCACTCATGGTCTTCACTATGTCTGGGTACATTCCTTCCATGCCTAATTGCTTGAAAGTTTTTATCATGATTGATGCTATTTCCCATCAATTGCGGATGCTGTTTCTGCATTCATGGAGAGGATCACTGGTCTTCACCTTTCATTCTGCTCATGTGAGCATCCCACTTACTCATTTGTGTGTGCTGACCCATCCTTCATCCCAGGTGTAAATCCCAGTCCATCAGGGTGAATGATCTTTTTACTGTGCTGTTAGATTCTGCTTGCTATGAATTTTCAGGTTGCTGGCAACAATGTCCTTCAGAGATATTGGGCAGGAATTTTCTTTCCCCATAGTGTCCTTGTCAAGCTTTTGATTCAGGATACAGTATTTCTGCGAAATGAGTTTGGAACAATTCTTTGTGCTTTATTATTATTTTTGAATGTATGAGAGAATTAGTATTATTTTTTAAATGTTTGATAAAACTCAGATTGAAGCACTCCTGTCCCAGATTTATCATCAATCTAGAATTTTAAAATACAGATTCCATCTTACTCATTTGAATTAACCCAGATTTTCTGTTTCTTCATGACTCATAAGAATCAAACATCATATCGTTTTCTCTGCAATTACCATTGTGAAACTAATTCTGTTCCCATAAGAAGCAGACACAAACGTCAGAACAAAGGTAGCACGGCATGTTTCTAAAAAAGGTAGTTGGCAAGTTTCTAAAAATTTATTCAATTTTTATAAATCATTACATTGCTTAGACTACAGTTGATCATGAGAGTCTCTCTGATTCTTTGTATTGTTCACTTTCCCTCTACTCAGTAAGTGGGGCTTATCCCATTCATCCACCCAGACTATGCAGCTTGTGTATGAGATGTCCGGATGAGAGCCTGGAATGTCATCCCTGGCCTCCTGCCCCTGGCCGGAGGGAGTGTGGACTACATCAATATAGAAGGGAATATTGTGAATAGATCTGGATGATAAAATGAGGAAATGGCAAATGTCCCAAGCAAGGAGAGAAGAAAGATTTCTGGCTAGGGTGAGGAGGGAGAGAGGCCATGCCTTAGTGGAACTAGGGAAAATAAAATGATCAAAACATTTGAGGTTGAGCCTGAAATCATCATAACGTGATTAAAGACAAGATGCATTTTAAATAATGAGAGTGTGGTCGCCATGGTAATCTGTGACTAGTTCACAAATTCAAATCATTCAAACTCACAAAACATAAACTGCATAGTAGGTGGAAGGCACAAATGAGCATGTTGCAGTCCTGTTCCTCCACAGGGGGGAGCTCAGAAAATAATTTGAGTGCTGCTCCCTTAACAGGATAAGTGTGGGATCATTGAAGTACAGATCATGCCCAAGCAGGGATGGTGGTGAAAGTGCAGCCTGAGATGACCTGTGAATGTTCTCATGCACTTGCTCAGTGTGGAGACACATGTGGAATTGACCAGAGGTCCAGGAAGGAATGCAGGACTATGGTTCAGGTGAAGGAACAACTGGGTCAGTGGGAGAAAGTATCCCCAAGCAAATGAAATAGTGAAATAAACTCGAAAATCCAAGAAGTGCAGTTGAGATGTAATCCTCGTTAATTTCATTGTCAACCTATTCAAACATCATATTATTTCTTCTGCAACTACCATTGTAAAAGTAATTCTGTTCCCATAAGAAGCAGACACAAACATCAGACCAAAGGGTAGCATTTATCCGTGTTGTAGTCCTCAGGATATAGGGACCCTTTGTTATCCTGGGTTATCAACCATGATGAGAGCCAGTTCTGCTGGATATTCCATGTTATGGGATTTGTGTGGAGCACTGTGGGATGCTGAGCAGCAATCCTGGCCTCAACCTTCTGCATGTCAGTAGCCCTGCACAAGGTGTGAGAACCACAGATGTCTCAGATCATCACAGTTTGACCCATGGATAGGGAGGGAGATAAAAAGTCCCCAGGTGGGAAACGCTGTGTCCCATGAGTGTTTAACCATCATTTATTTGGCTGAAGTGTATGTGTCATGAAAATCCAAGACATCAGCACACAGGTAGTCTGTGTCCTAGAGGGATTATGCTCTGCAGAGCGAGACCACAGCAACACAGGCTGAAGATGAAACAGCCTGGGCTCTAAAGAAAATGTCCCTTATAACCTGTACATTTGTCTTTCACACAAGCCCCAGGTCCCCTGCTCAGTGTCCTAGAATTCAGTGATGTGGCTTGAATTTCACCTTCTTTGTCACCTACCTCTGTGATCTGTTGTTCCCAGGAATCCCTGGAATCCAGGCTCTGGAAGGGTCTCACCAGGCCCTGAAACACAGAGAAGTAGATACTTCATCATCTTATTCTCCTACTGAACAGTGACTATTAATGCAAATTTGTGTTAAAAATAATTCCGAGTAATTATTTATTTTTCATTGTGGGCCTAGTTTCCCTCATTAAAACTTCGCAGCCATCATTAGGATAATGTTCCTGGGCTGGGGGTGTAGCTCAATGTACTGCACCTGCCCAGCATTCATGAAGACCTGGATTCCTTCCTGAGCACAGCAAGGTCATAATAACGAGATGATGTTCCCAAGTGACACCATGTTCGGTGTTTTCCTCATCTCTCAGCTGTGCACTGGTGTCCCAGGCAACTTGTTCCTCTTCCTGTTGTACATGCACACCTTCTCAGTCCAGCATCATGTGAAGAGGCTAATATATCCCGTTTTTTCCCACCTCACCTTGGCCAATACTTTGACAATCACGTTCACATTGACACCACATATAGCATCATCCTTCGGAGTAAGACAATTTCTGGACGATGTTGGTTGCAAAGCAGTCCTGTATATGTACAGAGTGACGCAGGGTGTTTCCATCTGCACCACCTGTCTCCTGAGTGCCTTTCAAGCCATCACTGTCAGTCCCAGGAACTCTAAGTGGGCGTGGCTTAAATTTAAGCTCCCTACATGGACTTGTCCATTCTTTCTTTTCTTCTGGGTCATCAACATGCTCATCTACATCCACACCATAGAAACCATAACAGCCACTAGAAATTTGACTCTGGTTGGTCGTGGCTATGTTCATCCATACTGCCAAACCAGGCAGTTTGGAAACCAAAACGCAGGGAGATTTCTAAGTGTCATCTTGATTCATGACCTGGTGTTTGTGTCCCTCATGATTGGCACCAGCCTGTACATGGTGAATCTCCTCTACAGACACCACAGGAGAGCCCAGCACCTCCACAGCTCCTGCATCTCCTCCCACACATCTCCTGAACACAAAGCCACCCGCACCATCCTCCTGCTTGTAAGTTGCTTCGTGGCCTTTTACTTCTCAAACAACTATTTGACTCTTTATTCCTTTTATGCACACAAGAAAATCCCAAGGCTGGCAGGGCTGAGTGGAGCTTTATCTTCATGCTACCCAACCATCTGCCCATTTTTGCTGATGAAAAATAATAAAATTGTTTCCCAATTTACTTCATCCTTTTCACAATAAGAATTACAGGTTTCCAAAGAGCATTTGATGGCTGAAATGACCCACCATGCTTATAAAGAAGAGAGTCCCTCATGATTCCTCTGGGAAAAGGTTTTTTCTTGTTAACTTGACCACTTCAAATGGCACTAGTCTGAATTCATATACTATACAAATCTATTGTGCTCTCACAATTAGGAGACTTAGTTTGAGTAAGTGTATGTGTGTATCACTGCAACAATTTTCATATTGATTACATCCTTAAATTATTATTCTTTTTAAAGTGAGTGCATTTTCTATATGACATTAAAATGATTTATCTGTTTGCTTTGGCTTTTTTAAACACAGCTACAGAAAATATAAAATTACATTTGTGGATTTCATACTTCTATTAAAATGTGCTGGCCTAAGAAACTGCTTCTATGTATCTGTGTTAGGGAGCTATTTTGCTACTTTGACTAAAGGACTGGACCAGAACCACTTTCAAGGAGGACAGGATTATCTGAGGGCTCATTGTTTCAGAGGTCTTAGTCTATAGGCTGGCTCCAATCCTCAGGCACATTAGAGACAACATCATGGTGGGAGACTGTGGCAGAGGGAAGCAGCTTCCATCCTGGTGATCAGGAAGCAGAGAGAGCGCTTTCCACTTGCCAGATACAAATATACATACCCCAACACTGTGCCCCTAATTCTCACCTCCTGCAGGCACACCCCACCACGTCACTTAATTCACTGATTGGGTTAAACTCTTATAACCTAGTCATTTTGAAGCCAGATTTAAAGATGGGTAGTTAGTGTAGTTAGGTAAATCGGGTCTAATATCGAGTAGGATAAAGAAAATGGAGACCATTATCGAGAATGGAGTCCAGGAAACCAGAACAACACCTGGGGAAATTGAAATGTGAATGTCCTCAAGGCCTGGAACCCATCCTAAGGAACTAATGAAACAGCTCCCAGCAAACAGGGAGGTGCTAATCAGACCACCCCAGGCCCTTCCTGCCCAGATTACTCCCTCCAGCCCCATCAGTCCCCCTGTCTCCCACTTTTTGGCCTTCCCACCTGCTTTCTATCACTGCAGGATAGAAGGAAACAAAGGACAGGAACGTGGGAGACTAAAAGAAGACCTTAGTCATAAAAAAGGGACGACCTCCCCTTTCCACCTTTCAGGCCCCCTTCTTCCTCTGGGAGGAAGTCTTTTCTGCTGTCCTTAATAAAGCCTCCACTTTCCACTCTACACTTGCCTCAACGTGCTTCTCTGGTGTTATGCTTCAGCATTTGGGGAAGCAAGGACTCGTCATCGGTAAACAGCAGTAAAAATTTCTCCTCTGAACCTTCTTGCATTGTCTCACACATGAGCTTTTGGGGGACACCTCACATCCAAACCATAAGATTCTGCGCCTGGCCCCCAAAAGCTCATACTCATCTGACCATGCAAAATACATATAGTCCTTTCCCAAGAGTCCCCATAGTCTCAACAGTTCCAAGATTGCTCACAGTTCAAGTGCCTTGAGGCTCTGTAAGGGTAAAAGATATTGAAGTTAAAATGTAAAAGACCGGGCATTGTAAAGTTTCTAAGCTGCAAGGCCTGAGTTAAAATGTAAAGGACCAGATATTGTTAAGTTCCTAGGCTACAGCAAAACCTGAAATTCCTGTAGATGTTAAGACAATACTTGGAACCGCCCAGTAAACATTTCCCCTGATCGCCTGGTTGTTTGATAACCTAGGACTCTGTGTGACCTTGCACGTAGACATCGCAGGGCCTGAACCAATCAGTTTGAATGTACCTCCCTCCTTAGAACTGACCTATCACTCCCGCCCAACCTGTTCCCGCCAAAGAATGAACTAATCATGTTTAGGAGTTGTTGTTTGACTTTCCCGCGGTGTATGATGATTTGTTAAAGGAGACTGTGATGTATGTAAAGTCACCGCCCTCCCCAAAAAGTGTACTTAAGCAGTGCTCAGCCCCTGCTTGGGGCTCTGGGCTGCTCTCCCTTCTTGAGTGAGCACGGAGCCCCAGCGCGCTGGAATGGTTCCCCAGTAAATCCCCTTCTGCAATTGCATGAGTCAGTCTCTTGGTAGTCTCTTCCTCCGACACTTCGCCGGACCCTTACAGCTCAAAGTAATGTCACATTGTGAGCGCCTGTAAAAATAAAAGCGATTTACAAGTATCCAGTATATAAAGGTATAGAGTGAACATTTCTATTTACAAAACTAGGGGCATAGAGAAGGGATGGTACCAGAGCTAGATCGAATTCCAGTTGGGCAAACAAGTCCTGTTCTCCTGTCCAGCCCTTGGGGCACAGGGCATCATGTTGTTCTCTCCAGGCCTTTCTGTGGGCTCTTCTCTGCTTGATTCCTGCAGCTTTCCTAAGATGATGTCTCACATTACTGGCATTTCTTAATCTCAGGTGTCCACTGCAGCTTTGGCTTCCTCCTCATATCTCCACACTTGACTTCTGGGGGCCCTGCAGGGACTCAGGCCCTGCTATGCTTTTCCTGGCCTTCAAGGCCTTCCTTAGAAATCTTAGTGGAAGCCTCCATGACACCCTAACTCCAGCATCCTGCATTCCTGAAGAAGTAGCACCACGTGGTTGATGCCAAGGTCTACTGCCATCTCTCCATTTGGAGCAGTAGCCAAGCCTCCAGGGACCCTGGCTGTAGTAGCCTCTGAGTGCCTGGGTAGCTGAGCATGTTGAAAAACTTCCTAGGCCCCCTTGTGCAAAAAGGATGCCCCAAAGGTCTTTTCTCAAGAGAATTTTTACTTTTATTTTCTTGAGTCTGAGATGGGTGTAGTCCTGCCAATTCCAGAGATGCCTTCAGGCCATCTTTCATGTTGTCTCTGGGCAAAGTCTTTAGCATTTCTTTAGTGGCCTTAATGTCTTTAAAAACTGCAATTTCCTTAGCCTCCTTTTATTCTGGCCTTTCAAGTCCAGGTTGTTCAAATCTTTCTGCTCTGCTTTCTGCTCCTGAATATCACAATGAACTTGGCTAAAAGCCACCAGCAATATCCATGCCACCACCTGAATGCTATGCTGCCTAGAAATTACTTCTGCCCAGTTAAGAAGTCCATCACTTTTAAAAATCAGCCTCACAGAAGGCCTCAGGACACGGACAAAATGCAGACACCTTCTTAGCCAGAAGAGAACCCCAATGGCCTCTAGTCCAATTACCCATAGGTTCCTCCTTTTCCTCTAAACTCTCTTGATCCCTCTCTTCACTGTCCATGATGCTATTGGCATTCTGGTCTTTTGAACTCCCATCAGAATGCTGCACTGATGACAGTCTAAAGCATTTCCAGCTTGCATTGCTAAGCATCTCAAAATTCCTCCCACCAATTCCAAAATGCTCCAAAAATTTAGGAACCACATTATCAGGTTAGTCCAGCAACAACCGCACTTCTTGGTACCAACTTCTGTATAAGTCAGGGTTCTCTAGGGGAACAGAATCAACAGGAAGTATAATTACAAAAAGGGGATTTATTAGATTGGCTTACATGACTGTCAGGTCAGTGGCGGTGACCTAGGAAAAAACCACCAAGCAGGAACAAAACACAAACAGGGCTCGTGGGCACAGGAAAGAAACATCAATCAGAAGCCCAAGGAAATGCCTGTCAATCAGCGGGATCTCCTGACTTACACCTGTCAATCAGCAGGACACCCTGGCCAATCCTATAGTTTCCCAGTTCCCCTGACCAACTCCAGCGGGATAAGGGACCCTAAAAATCCCTCTTCCTGTTCCAAGCCCTTCCCTTCCTTCCATGAGCTCCATAAAATTCCAAGCCGGTCGAGGTCCCATGTGGTTTCTCTCCAGACCTTTCTCCTGTCCACTCTGTAAGTCTGATGGAGTTCCCCCCA